GTAAAACTGGATAATGTTCAGCCTTGAATTCACAATTAATTTACTACTTAGACTGTACTTGCCTATGAACGTGAGCAGCATCTTTCATGATGATCAGCCTTGGATTGACGACAATTGGCCACTGCTCACCTCCAGCAACGAATGCACGCCCCTTCCCAAACGAATCGACCATTCGAATGTTGGGTTTCCAGAGAGATAGCGTGATAAGTTCTCCGAACTCAACATCGTGTCTTCCTGTGATTTCGTAGAACAAGTCTAGCAGTTCCTGTCGTCCTGTGATGAGCTTGGCTTTTTCGTTATCGACCCACACAAGAAACGTGAACAGGTTGTTCCCTCCAGCGGCGATGAAACTGAAACTGTTCAAGGTTTATCGGTACATTTTCATTGACGACCAAGACCCGGACTCACAGTTGAGTCTGCATCGAACCCCAGAGATGCCAGAACTGGAAAGTATTGATGATGAGAAACAGTCAAGGTCAAATAATGGCGTACTTCTTCTGACAATCCTTTCTCGACAAAGATATCGCCTGTGATGATGTATCCTTCTTCCCGAGTCTCGCCGAGGAAACCCAGATTGAGCTGCTTGCGGACGATGCTGCGAGCTCCATCTGCTCCGACTAACCAATGGAATTCGGCGGTTTCTGGCACTTCTTTTCCATCGCGGATGGAGACCAAGTGAGCAAAGACTCGGTCTGGTTTCTCTTCAAACGAGACGAGCTCTGTAGATAGCTCGATGGAGACTCCGAGAGCTTCCAACCGAGAGCGAAAGATAGCTTCATGGTCGTCTTGCCCGAGACACAAGAGGTTCGGCTACACATCTCCCATCAGTAGAGAGACTCGGAGTATCTCAAGAATCGGCGTACATATGGGCATGAGGGCGTAAAGGCTTCACCCCCCGAAAGAGCTTCAATCGTCCTGAGTACTTTCGCACCATCAAGGGGATCGTACATGAGGATTGGGGACGAAGGAACTGCCTTCTTGAGAACCTCGTCCAAGGTACCAAGGAACTTGTGAAGCTCCAGAGAGCGAGGCTGAAATGGAATCAGCAACTATGTAGCATCGGGATCTGAATTCAGTCTACAGCTCACCTGAACCCCATTTCCTTTGCGACCAAGGCGATAGGTCTGCAATTTATCGATAATTCGGACTGGGATACCATTCTGTACAAGAGATAGAGCCAAACAAAGTCCGGTTGGGCCTGCTCCGACCTGAGGAATGCATGAGTACCGACTTCAGATAGATTGAAATGACTCACTATCAAGACACTTGAAGGTGAGGCCATATGTTTGCGAGAGAGGTTTAGATATATGTCGCTCTGTAGGCTTGAGATTTTATAGGGCCGGCTAAATGGGACGCGTTTCCCTCCGGCAAAAACTTCGAAGAGATGCCCTGGTCCTTGGCTGCGAACCCATCCGGCAAGCTGTGATAAAGCTCGGCTCTATGTCTTATACTTTCTCTCTGCCGAAGCAAACACATAGACATCTAACAGAAAGGCCCGAGGGATATACTTACCTCCGATGCACGCCCACGCTTTCGGAATAGTGCTCGAAATGTTAGAGTCATTCTCGGCGGAGGCATGCTTTGATGAAAAATGGTTCTGATGTGTTCTAGATGCGATTATTCATCACTTCAAAGAATTTCAACTCACTAAAGCTTGTCTTCAGTGCCTGAACAGCATTGTACGAGCGATAATGCCTCGCGTCACGTAAACTGTGTCATATTCTCAGAGGCTGACACCAAGTCGATTTGTCACGCGCTTAACGTTTTTCTCGACGATTATCCAAGTCCAACTTGTTTTGGAGTGTGCAAGTTGGACCCAGGGAACAACAGCGGCTGAGCTTGAGCCTTCGCCAGTCTTTGCAATTCTGCATAATATATGATAGACAGAGAGGTTTTACTCACAATGTTTTCCTTCATGTCCGTTTCATTTCCGGACTTCCCTGGCGAATAGTACCAGTACGGCAGGTGTCATGGATGCCACTCCCTTGAGAGAAGGCTCGAATGGGGGCCGAGATGTCGAACGCCAAAGAATGTTACGTTTCGCGAAATCGCCCTTGTGTCCATTCGCGAGCTCCCAATTCCAAATACAATTATTTGACCATAAGATGAGAAGAAGTCCAGTTATACACCCAAACGAGGAAAGAGAGTAGGTCACGACAAGGCAAGTAGGACGAGCGCTGCCGAGAAACCTACACCAAATGCAGGCAATAATATCCGACCAGGAGCTGACGAAGATATTATCCCTGCTGCAACCTTGATTCCCGCTTGAGCGCATTGCCCGACATATACTGCGAGATATAGTTGAACTCGAGAAATAAGAATAGAGAAACAACGTACTATCCATTGATGTCTGTGCTTCCCCAGTGCCTGTGTCCTTGCTATTCGCGACAATACAGTCCAGACACAAAGTGAGACGCGAACTGACAGCGTCCGAGCAAGCGCAGGACAACGTTTGGCAGGTCTGAATAGAGACAATATTAGATTCCTACTTGTAAAAAGAAAAGAAAACTGACCGTGATCTCCTGCAAAACGTCGCATTTAGACTTGCACTTTGATGGGTAATCGGAGAATTCGAAGCCAGGGCTCTGGCGTCGCAACAAGGTGCTCAATTCTGAGGACATATCGTCAGGTAAGGGAGAGGGAGAAGCAGAAGCTACGAAACAAATATCAGTGAGACTGGCCCCAAGCCGAGGAGACAAAACCATACTTGCTTGGAAAGACAATATAGCCAGTCCAGCGAGTTTTAAAGGAATGTAGGATCGCATTGTGAGCGAAAAGTAAATGAGCGGCTGGGAGGTGATGGACAGAGGAGCAAAGAGCACCAAAGACCCTGTCTGTCAGCTGGAGCCGTTAAAGAGTCCCTTTCGGCCAACTTCATCCGCTATAGGCCTAGCGCCCCTTCAACGCCCCTTAAATGATATAGACCGACAGGACTCCGATTATTGTCAGACGGGCGCTCCAGAGTGAATAGACCCGGCCGGCCTCAGAGTCTGATGAAACAACTGCCAGATTTTGTGGATGGGTTTCCTATGGCATTGAAGAGAACGACCTGGGCGTGCTTCTGAATCTTGAATCGCAAGGAGCTCCACAAAAGATCAGGGCAGGACCGAGTATTCGGCGAAGATGTTACAGGCTGTCGAAGAATGTCAAACCTTGACCATGTCCCTATGAAACGAGTTCGTGAGTCGACATCGGTGCGGCGAGCCAGTGCCAAGGCTTGTCAGACCAGGATTTGTAAAAGAAATCCGGTGCCAGCCCAAACATCGGGTGTAACCCCTGGAAAATCACCAGGAGCTATTGCCGAGTCGATCAAATCCTATGAACAAATCAACGAGAACGCGACTCTCAAACCATGAAAATGGCAAACCATGAAAATGGCGGTCGTCGCGTCGACAAAGCAAGAGGGCCCGTCAAGCTCCGGAAAGTGGCCGACCGATGACTCAGCAGCTCAGCCTTTGTTCCAGCCACTCGCCATGAGCTCTAGCTGAACCCGTTGCTCATAGCTGACCTGTGGCTCAACGCAATGTCTGCGAAAAGACCCCGAATCCCGTCCCCGTCTCCTTCAGCTTCCTCGTCTTCAGGCTCGGCTCCGACTGGAACCGCTACGTCTCGCAGATTGTCGTCGTCTCCCACTGCAAAATCCACCAGATTATCGTCTCCGGAATCTCGTCCTTCAGAATGCAGGCTTCCTCCGACTTGTAATCGAAATCCAACCCTTATTGCCAATGCAAAGGTATGTCATTGTCAAAGGAAATTCAATGATCCCTGTCAACGAATTCCTTTTACGAATCTGTACTTAACGATTATCAGGACCTCGAGGCCCATTATGCTAATTTTCATGCTCATGTTTGTGAAGTCCCTGGGTGCAAGTGCGTTTTTCCTGTGGCGCGCTTGTTGGAACTGGTGAGTGGCAGAATGTTTCGTCCATCGAATCGATCTGCCGGAACCACGCGTTTTACATGAACCTGTTATCTGGCTTTCCCTTTACCCGCTGCTGACTCACGTCCAGCACCAAACGGAATGCCATGATCCATTGGCGGCAATTCGTCAGGGAAACGGAGAGAAAATCGTCAGTGCTCTTGTTACACCATGGATTCTTTACTCAATGGATTTACTTCTAGTTTGCTTGCCATCTGCCAGTTGATGATTGTGGCAAAGTATTCCTGACGCCAAAAGCGCGCAGGCTTCACATGATTTCCTCACATGCCTATCCCAAGCAATATTTCTTTGCTGTGACGAACAAGGGCGTCGGTGGTTTGCTGAAGAAATGGGGTCAGGGCGCCAGTATGATTCGAGGAGAATGGAAGCCGAGAGAAGGGCAGGATAAAGGGAAACAGAAAGAGCAAACGCCGGAAGAGAGAGAAAGAGCGATAAAGTGGGAGAAGGAGAGAGAGAAAGAGCGGTGGAAAGCAGCACAAACAGTCGACGAAGCCATAACCGAAGCGGAAGACGAAGACGGGACGGACGGCGAGGACACAGAAATCGAAGAAATAACAGAGGAAGCGCCTCAGATTGACGAGACAACTAAAGTCGCTATGGACTCGATAACCGACTCGATGTCGTCTCTTTCCATGGTACCTTCGTCAATACGATTCGGTCGAGGTGCCAAAAACATCAATATTCGGCCAAGACCTATGCAAGTCGATAATGCCAGAGGAATTGCTTCACCAAGAGGACGAGGATCCTTCCGGGGACCTGCTAGAGATTTCCAGGGTGGCCCAATGGATGTGGATCGACCGGTGCCAGCCCGCGGTCGGGGAGGCGCCGTCGGAACCGGACCTCCTAGAGGTGGTATTATCCAGTTTCCTCGAGGAAGAGGAAGAGGAGCGGGCTGGGTCCCCAGGGGAATGGCCAGAGGACGAGGAAGAGGTTTCGTCGCACAAAGTGATTAAGATATATGAAATTGATGTAAAAAGCTAATCCTGCAACGGGATGAAGTCGACTTATTGTAATTTATTCTATCCTAGCCTACATGAGGCGAAAAAAAGAGAAAACACAAACTGCTCCAGAGAGGCTCGAACTCTCGACCTTCCGATGACACAATGTTATCTAACGTGCTATAACAGTCGGACGCTGTAACCAACTCAGCCATGGAGCACATATTCGCCATGTCCGGCTGGCACACCAGAACGCGCCGGCGGTATGCGCCACAGAGTGTGAGATGATTGCTCCTTGAAATACCCAATAGATACAGACCAATTCATACAGATTGCATTACATATTTTTATATAACAGACCACTGAACCCCAACAAGCCTTCCTGAATCAGGACTTGCCAGACGGCTGAACGCCGCTGAACTCAAATCAATATCTTTAGCTCCTTTGCAGCCAGCACATCTAGCCAGCATGTCAGCTTTTAACATCATCTAACGAATTACATGATGGACTTCATACCTATCCACAATCTTCACTTCAACTGACTTGCCCTTGTCTAGTATTGAAGCATTGTCAGGGATTCAAATAGCTATCAAGAAGAAGAGACTTGCATGACACCTTGGCCATCTTATTGCATAATTTATTCCTACATCAGTCAGTAAATCCATCAAGACATAGATCTTAATTTGCACACCTGCTCGGATTCTTCTGTCCAGGACTATGACAAGTCGGTCTTCACAGAGACTTGAATGAGTTTGAAAGAGAGACATACTCGTAAGATTCAAAGAACTGTCTAGACACTGCCACAACCAGATCAGTGCCCTTTAGTGCAGAACCACAGGAACCCAACCCAGCCGGGCTGTAAAATGTTGCTAGCAACTTGTAAGAGCCGTAAAAGGACCAGACTTGAATTCCTCACCAGTGTCTCGTCGCTCAAGTTGCATGGGAGCAGCAGTTGAAAGAACAGGGAGGCCAAGGAGAGTACAGAGTTTGAAAAACAGCATTGTGATGTGACTCGGATTGATGAACTGGAAGAAAGAAGAATTGGGTGGTTCAAAGTACCGACCAGCGGTGAGATGGTGAGACTAGCTGGGGAATCAATCCTGACCATGATACTATTTAAACCTTCGACCACCGTATCCGGTATCCATGACAAGAGCTGTGAGAATCAAACATCCTGGCAAAGCGGGTGTAACAGAGTGACAGTGGGTTCTGAGATCTGAGATCGGAGGGTCTTCGCGAAGAATTATTTATTTGAGGTGGAGGTAGAGAGATCTTACAATGGACACTGGCATATTCAGTGGCGCAGTGGGTGGCGCAGCGTTCATGAATCACCATGAGAGTCAACTGAGCCTTTTTTTAGAGAGACGATCCCGGCGATGACAGTGGTGATTGCCTATAATCCGGAACCTGGTGATGACACTGAGGGTATGACACAGTTGAGGGTATGAGTCGGGCAGAGACTCCTGGCCAGTACATATTGGTCGGTATGAGTGTTATGGCATGTGGCAAGTACCAAAAGGATTTTCATTGATCTCAAGATTGATTGAAGCCTAGAAGGTTGAGGGTAACTGGTCAGATCTGATTTGACCTTCAGTCCTTCCCTGATACAAATATATAAACCACTGGAAAGTTGCTTGGAAATGAGATGATGTGACGCGGTCTAGAACTCGGTCAGCCTTGCGCCACAGTAGTTGGTTGTATATGAATTAGTCCGCCCGCCCGACCAAGCTGAATTTCGGTACATCGCTTTTTCCAGGGTTTATTGACACAAGACTCATTGAGTTCTAACCCTAATTTATGCACAGTGGAACATCCCCGAATTGCACTGACATCAACTCGCAATCGATGAACCTTCAGAAGCTGAGAACCCTTACCCGAGCTTGCCAGAATATTTGATGGCAACATTCAATGAGAAAGAAATGGAATCACTCTAATGTGACTCTCAACGGTGTGCTAGGACTGACTCTAGGTCCCTTATAGGACCTATACATGTCATATCGACGGTGTCGGCGGCGTGCTTGGCGATATATGAGATAGACGCAACTTGTCTCGATCGTATTTTTCTCTTGCACGCCTTCGCACGCCTCTTGAAACAAAGAAGTAAGAGTTACGCGGCTCTGACTACGATAGTTAGGGTCCCGTGCACTGACAGCCGGTGCGTCTATAGACCAGAACGCGACAACGCGCGCCTAATTATTGATGGAGCAACTCCGTGACGTCAGAGCTACGCGAAACGCGTCAGCAGCATTACGTACCTCGACTTCACATGTTTTGTGCTCTTATCTTTCCGCAATGACGACCGCTGGCCAGAGCAGCGCCGGCGTCGAAGACCTTCCAATGGCCCTAGCAACTGGTAATTCAATCATGAAGAGACTTCTGAATTACTGGCCGATTCAGACTTTGACTCGCATCATAGGAATCCTTGATCGACGAGCCCGAGTTTGACGAGGAATTGGCGCATCGGAAGCACCTTCTTTGGTGGAAAAGGCCATCTCCAGTATGGTAAGTCATTAAGCGCTCGAAAAAATCAAGCTAAGTAATCGACATTCAATTCTTTGATACAGCTTACATTTCGGAGACCCATTGTGACTCGTTGAGATGATACCTCTGACTCTGATAGCTTTTCGAGCGAATTAAACCAACAAGTGTGAATTTTTGCAACCGGCAAGTGCAGTCGCAACCTGGACTCAATTCTTTGACATACTTGGCTTGCACAGAGACACGTGAATATGTACCGCTGACATCTGTGAGGATAGCATGTCAAGGGCTGAATTAGACCACCAAGTATGAATGAAACCGACAAGTGCAAGATAGATGTGGCACACATTGAGACTCAATTGAGACTCGACCAAAGTTTTCCGCCTGCTGGGGCCCGCGTCGGCCCGAGTGTGCGTCCCCGATTCGAGAAAAGCATCAGTCACGACTGATTGCAACAAGGCCGGTTTTGAAGATGCAGGAGTGAGCTCTCAAGATCTCAATTCGGAACATACTCAAAATCATTAAATATTGTGATATACAGTATAAGGGTAAGAGACGAGATCCATGAGTAGAAATACATTCATCAAGACATGAATGGCATAAAGCAATAGGGGTATCGCGGTGGTGGTGGCTACAGTAAAAAAGATACAGCGAGATGGATGAGAAGAATGATGGTTAGGAGAACAGCATGATATGGAATGCAAGGTTCATGTCATGTGTGATATAAGTTCATGCAAGGAAGAAATGGGAATTAGGCTCTGAAGAGACCCAGAACATTGAGACGCGACATCTGTTTCTTCAGCGACTTGCGAGGGATGGCGAGAGTAGCGGCAGGCGCGGAGACCGGCTCTGGTGCAAAGGAATCGTCAAAGCCTGACGAGACTGAAGCAGGTTGAGCCGCAGCAAGATCCAGAGGTGCTGGACGGCGACGATTTTTCGAGGCCGGCCTGCCGGAAAGAGTGACAGTAGGAATTGGGAGACTCGACAGTTCCTTGACCTCTTCCACTTCTCCGTCAAACTGAACCCAGCCTTCGTCTTCGGTTGATGCGAGAAGAGGAGCGTACTCCATTTCCTCGTCCTGGTCGACCCAGAAATTCCCACTGGCATCACGATGGGCGTCGGCAATGGGCCGCTCAGACTTTGGGAGAGTCTTGGCAGCCCGCTTGGCCTGTTTCTCCATCACTCGCTTCATGTTGTGCTCGAGAGAACCTCCATCCATGAGCTGAAGAAGAAGAAGCTCATTGTTAAATGTCGGTGGAAGAGCTTTGACAGATTTAGAGCGAGGACGAGTAGGAGAACCTGTCTTTTTCGTCGGTGAAGCTGGTTTTCTGGGAGAAGGAGGTCCGTTGGAGCTCGTCGACTTGGATCGTGGTCGTTTGAGGACGCCGACAGAGCGAAAACGCTTCAGGGTGAGCTTGGACTGGGCCTTTGAAGCCATTGCAAGACGAGGAGATGGCGTCGCAGGGGTCGTTGGAAGATTGACGAAGACCGAGGTATAGCCCAAGGTCGTCAAGTCAAAGGTGTTATCCTTGACGGAAGCAGCTGTGGTCGGTGTATCAACGAGACGAAGGAATGAGCTGGACGTCGAACAGGCTCGGCTGTGAGAAACACGAGGTCTGCGTACAGAAGAAGCTCTGCGACGAGCACTGGGCGGCGTCCGAGGTGCTGGTGAACCTGGCTGAACAGTCAGAGCCCAGGTCGTGATGGAAGAAAAGGTAGAAGATCGTGGTCGACGTCCGACGACAGCAATGATGGGTGGCGAAGATACAGGCAAAGGAGTGACGACGTTCACGGGGTGAACAGGTTGCAATTTAACTGGTCGTTTCTTCGGCTGCTTTTGCGGGGGCTTGGAGAGGAAAGCGTAACGGGACGTGGATACAGCAGACATAGAGTTGATTATTAAAAGACCTAGATTCCGATTTAGTGATTGTGATTGAAAACAATCGACTGGACTGACCGTTAAAAGAAAGCTCGTTAGGATATTCAAGTCGTTGAGATGGCGAGAGCAGTGAGGTCGTGAATCCGAGACTAGCTCAGATTATCAAGGTCGAAAGAACTGGAGTCGGTCCCACAGAACAGCACCGCTTATATAGTCCCCAGGAACAATTGCCATTAGAGTACAATGAGCTGGATGAGGACAATAAGATTGTCCAGAGTAAACAAAAGCCAACAGTGCGTGGTTTTTGATGGTTTCAGCCGCAATTGAGCCAGAAAATTCGAGGCAGTTTCATCCGGAATAAATCCCTTCAAAGCGACAGACCTATTCTTCGTCGTCGTCGACGACGAGCGGGCAAAAGCAGAGGCGCTGAGTCGCACGTGATGTCCTAAAACGGGAAGATCAAGTCCATTGTCCCCAATTTGGGCGTGAAATCAAATAGGACTTTGCATCGGACCGGCGCCTTGTATTAATACAAGGGTTTTATCATCATTCCAGTTAGGAATATAGGGAAGAATGCCATAGCGTTTCAGCAGTTAAGTACAATGATTCCTAATTGTATTCTGCCAGATTCAGCCTTGCTTCAACCACGCTGTCTCTAGATTCGCCGCTAGATTCGCCGCTCCATATGACTCCATTCCAGCGTTATAACCTGGCAAGAGACAAGAGCATCGTTGAGAACGATCTCCATATCAGGAAGGCCGAGGAAGGAGAAACCCATTGACCAAGGACTTGAATTGAGCTGGAGTTGAATCTCGATTGCATAAGAAGTCAGATACAATCGGCAGAAGCCAGAAGGAGATTCAC